GCGCGTCTTCGGAGATGTTGTACTTGCGCACTAGCTCCATGTCGCCCATGCCGCTAGAGATGGTGACGACCTTTTTGACAGTTCCCTTGAGGACGAGCGGCATGACGAGATTGAAGAGGTGGATGTTGCCGGTGACATTGACACTGAACTGGCGGGTGAGGCTGGCTGTGAGTTTCTCTGGGTCATTTCCGAGAACGGAGAAGGAGTCGAAACCACCCTCTACCAGACCGGCATTCGCGATCAGATAGTCAAGGCTTCCGCCGGTGATCTTCGCTGTAGCAGCGGCAGCACTCTTGAGCGACTCGTAGTTCTCGAGATCGCCCTGAACAAAGTGGATGTTGATTCTGTTCCAAGAGGCGACCTTGGCTTCGGAGGCGGCTACGTTGCGGACCAGGCCGATGACGACGTTGTTGGGGTTGCTGGAGATGTTGTCGAGGAAGGCGAGGCCGATTCCTCGGGATGCTCCGGTGATGAGGTAGGAAGGCATATTGCTTTAGTGGTGAAGATTGTGGAGATTGAAGTGTCTTGAAGGTTGAGTGTTTGGAAGGCTGTGAGTTATGATGATTAAGTGTCTTGTAGACTGGAGTGTTTGATGCTGAGATGTGAGTTGATGCTGATACTATCGAGGCCGAGCAAGCTCCTTTATACCAACTCTATGTGACGATGCCATTCCTCCGTATTGGAGCGGCATGAGCGTTCCTACCATCATGGCTTCGTAAGCAACGATATTGAGCTCGCAGATTTTAACTACAGTTCTGTTTGGAGGTATATGCGGTCGACTAAGCTTGCCGCGATGGATGCGCCAGAGGGATCGTACCTGTGGCTTGCAAGAGATGGTTTGACGATGCATGCTTGGCAGCTCGCAGATAGTTGCCTCGCGTCTATTTTGGGTATGGCGTGGCCTGTGTCGCTCACGTGTGATTCGTCGAGAACTGCGGGGCGGGGCGTTTTAGGGCCTCCACGGGCTGGGCCATCTCCCACCTGCGACTCCCGTCCAGCATCTTCAACGCCCTGCTGTTCGCTTGGGTGTTTCTCTCGTGAACTCTTGATTTCTAATATGCGGCGTTACGATCTCTTTGCAGCACTTACCCGGAAGGTGCACTACTTTGTCTGCCCCGAGCTCTACGCGATACCTATCTAGGATGACTGCGACGAAGGGGTGTTGGACATGCAAAGGTAGTGCTTGATCTCGTGAAGCCCTGGGTAGTTTGCCTTGTTAACATCCTCCGTAGATCGTAAGGTCTCATGTGACCGCACTGTACCTGCGTGCATCAAGTGTTCCAAGACCAAGCGAGCATGCGGTGGTTATGGCATTCGTCTCACATGGCCCCAGAAGGATCAACAAGAGAGGTCACTGCTAACGTCTGCATGTTCGGGAACGCAGCGTACGATAAGCCGACAGAGGACTGAGCAGTGGGTCAATGCGTCGCAGACCGATGTGCTCCTCCATATCCTTGCTAGAGATGCTAAAGGCGGAGGTACGGCGTCTCCAAGCAAGCTGTTGACACGACTTGACGTGTGATTAGTAGAAAGCGAGCATGTTGAGAGGTATAGGCTTGCATTGCCCAGGCTTACCCAGACCATGGTTCCGGTACCGAAAACGATCACTACTAGCGATGCGGATCTAATACAGTATTGTATGTCCTCTTATGGGTGATGACTGTTTCGAGATTAACTAGCCGCAGTTGAGAACGTGATGATCGGCATCCTACCGACCCTGGGCCGTGTAAAAACAGGCATCGGACGGCTATTATTGCGCATGGCCTTATCCGGACGATCAAAAGCGTCAAAGGCTTTACTGCTATCGGTTGTCGCACTGGCCTCACGTCATCGCAGACACGATGCGGTGCATGCAGCCCGTGCAAAGAACGCAGCTATAGACGCGCTGATAAGTGCCACAAGCTCTGAAATGGACCATGATGGCAGTGTTGAGCACATTGCTACTGGTCTGACTTTGTGTTTGGTAGAAGTGAGTACTCAGCCAGAAAAGACAAGGACGAGACTGACGCATTTCCGTCACAATCATAGACAAATCTCGACTGCGATTGGATAGGTCATTTGTGCGGCGCAAGAAACGCTTTACCTACTGTTGAGCAGAAAGCCTACCACCACATTGGCAGTGATGCAGCTGTCATGCTCGAGTGGCTTTACCACTTCGTAACCTTCACGCGCTTTAGCTTCCGTCATTGGCGCACCTATATGATTCGAGCAACTTCGCAAGAGCTTGGTATCAACGGAGCTAGCCCCCATTGTGTCATGCAATATCGTATTGCTCGAACGTTAGTAGCAAAGAATATGGCAGCTATCTCAACATACGTTCATCCGGTGGTTCAACTTCTCGCTGATGTCTTAGACACACGGCTGTACGCTTCCGACCCGCACTATCATTCGGTGGAATATCAACAGTCCCTGGATGATCTAAAGGTTCGACTGAGCGATGTTGACTCCGTTATTGAGAAGGGGGGAGAAGACGACGATCAGTCTCGCTGTCTAGAGCTAACTCGACTAGCTGGACTGACATACCTCGAGCGCGTATCTCGAAACTTCTCAGGCGAATCTACAAGACTGGAAAACTGGAGGAAAGGTGCAATCTCCATACTCGCCAGCCTGAACACATATCCGCCATCGTTCGCTATATTCATCGTCGGATGTGAGACGCATACGGACGAAGAGCGGATGGTTATGCTTGACTTTTTGACGAGACTGGAACAACATCCTCACTTGAATAGCTTACTGGAGGCGAAAGGCTTGGTTCAGACAGCCTGGATTCAGCATGACCTCGGGGTAGAGGGCGAGCTTGAGTACATTCACAAGCTCAACTTGGTGCTGAGCTCGCGCAACGTGATACCGAGTTTCATGTAGCTGATCAATCAGTCGAAAAGATGATGCACACAACACATAATCAGACTGGGCTTTTCATTCAACTAGTCTCATCCACGTCGCACCATATTTCCCTTCCCATGTCACAGCAAATCCCTAGGGTGCCTTTTCCTCATGTGTCTCAGCATGTTGTCTTTTCTTGAGAATTTCTCTGTACAACCGTAAACCATACACTCGACCTCGACTTTCCCTTCCGTACTGTGCTTTGCTTGGATATGTCGCTGTAGGTCGGCTTCGAAACCGAACGGCTTTTGTGTGCAGCCCTCATATGGGCACTTAGCGCGTTTGTTATGGATTCGGTTAGTATGCTTGCTGTATTTCTGTAAATCGAGGGTGTAGACTAGGTGGTAGACTTTCACTCACTTCAAGTCGCAATGGCGGTGGAATCGTTCCTGACAGATACAACAGACAACATCCGGTTCTTCGGGTTTTGCGATCGAACTAACGATGGAAAGCTGCGGTGACACGTTTGCCGAACGACTGGTTGCTGGGGATAGCGACGGATCAGGCGACATGTCATCGGGCGACGCCTGCGGGGAGGAGGGCGCAGACGAGAATGAGTCAATGTTCTGGGCGAACATCGCGTCCGCAGAGGTATTCTCCGACATCATATAATCATGGTTGGTAGCTTCCACGCGCTGCGAGGGTTTGAGGAAGGGGCGATGTATAACCGGATTGACGTCGTATTCGAATGAGAATGGTGAACAGGATTGGACAGTGCCTGTGTTTGAGTAAGGGCAAAAGTCGTAAAAGTCGTAGCTCTCGGCACCTGCTTTTAGACTAAGTATTGTTTCGGAAACGCTCCCTGTATAGTTTAATAACCCATGTTGTGAAGACCTATCGAATGTCTGTAAGGCGAAGACGAAAAAGGCCTTCGCCGATGTTGCTGTATCGTAGGAATAAGGTTCACCACTTAGCCAAACACCTTGGTGCTACGGCTGGGGGAACAATGTGACTTCAATTGCACTTAAGAGCAGAAATGTGGCTGATAATGGTAGGAGGAGGGGATTGTAAGCTTTCCAACAGACGGCCTAAGGCCGCTGTGAAAGTGGTTGTGAAACAGCAAGAAAAGGCTACCACATGGACCTTATATGCCGGGGCGCTTGAGAGGCATGCCTTGAGCGGCACCGGGGACTACTAGAGCTCAAAGGCGCCTCGCGTCGCTGTCCAACCGAAATGTCTGCTTGCCGTTATGCCTCTCTTCATATGCGGCCAAGACTTGTGGCGGAGGCTATGGCCGCAGCACCTCCGCTGGCGTAAGGCTGAGAAGGATGTTGGAATGCCTCACACCAACATCGACATAGACCCAGACAATCTCATCATTTGCGATACATTGTTCGGTTAAGAGTCCCCAGAAACCAATAATGAACCTCCAGATCATGCCGACATACTCTGTAGGATTGTAATCAGACCATACAACGCCTATGCAGATACATCGTAGAACTGATCAAGCTCAACAAGTATGATGATAAATGTGAAGAAGCATGAAATCATAGCCTATCGTCATCGCCTCGTGATATTCATTGTGTAGACCGAGATATCTCGTAGTCACTGCGGCCATTTCATCTTGATCTTGCGCTATCATCTACCCTTCTTCTGCGGCCACGGCTTCCACCTTCAGGGCGTTGTGCCAACACATCGCGAAGCTGAGGGTCGTCTTTGTCTTTGTCCGTATGGTGAACGCGAACATGCCTAGAACAAAGGAATCAGCAACATAATGTAGCGGTTCAAGCGTTCTTGTTTGACGTACCGCTGTAAGTTTTCTGGTCGCGGGTATCTGTGCTCGCGATCCGGGCAATATGGACAGACATATCCTGGAGATTGGTGAACGAGACCGTGGCGTATCATCTCGTTCTTCCTCTTGAACCCTTTGCCACCTTCGCCTCTTGGGCAATCCTTGACTGGGCAGTAATGTGGTCTCGTTGACGAATGTATGTTCGTATGTGAGCTATGACGGTTAGTCCAAATCACTATCGTTGACCGACATACACACTTGAGTAGATACTGCGTTTGGAAAGGTAATGCAGTACAACCAGGATAGTCACACCGAAACAAACCAGTATGCAACTCTGGATTTCCCTGAACCCTCAAGAATGCTGGATTCGAAGTATCAGAACGGGTCAAATCTCGAATTCGAACCGCATAAGCCTGCTGTGTGACCGCTTCAGCTGTGATAGCGACCTGTTGTTCATCATCCGGTAAAGTTGCGATTCGAGCAGCTTCAAGTTCTCTGCGATGATTCTCACGCTGATCAATTCTGTGGGAAGAAGGAGAAGTGTTCGTAGCCGCTGTAGCAATGTCGGTCAGCTGGTTTAACTATGTACCATCATCCACGAGCTTGTATACATACCATCGTCGCCATCCCTAGAGCTCGATCCTCTGATCATCTTCTTGACCCAGGACACTATGCGATCTATTGCCCCGAGGTGTCGAATTCTATTTATTCCCAAAGGTCCAGATTCTTGTGGTGCAGGTATAAGAGCACTTGAGTGTTCCGTGAACACCTGAAGTTCTTCCAACGAGTCTTCACTCACAATGAGATCATGGCTGAGGCTGTCCAGTAACAACAAGTCGACTGTAATGAAGCTTTTCTGATGGCTCTTTGGGCCCGACGCATTGATCGATGCGACAGCCATGTCAACACGGACGAACCCGGCAGTGATTGCTATGCTTCCATCTGCCATCTGAATTGCTTCCTCCCCTGGATAGACTGTGAGGCCGCGTTCAGCCGCAAACGAAGGCGATATCAGGTCAATCTCCGAGCCGGAGTCTGGAGTTGCTAAAGTCTCTCTATGATTCAGCTCGCACGACAGTAACCACCTTGGTTTGTCTACGGAGCATACGGACAGAGCCTGGAGAGCTGGTGTTGGGACGCGTACAAGCCTCTCTCTGTGTTCGGTCATTGTCTTTGTTTGCTCTAAGAAACTCAACCCCATGATGATTGGTGTCGCAGCTTTGAGTAGGACGTAGAATGCGCAAGTCATTGTTAACAACGACTCCGTTTCAATGCCAAACGAGCAGACTGACTCGATCATGCCAATAGCCTCGACAAGCTTGCCATTGGCTAGCGCAAACTCCTTCTTCTCTGGTAAAGCATCGTACTCCGAGTATCCTAAAGTCTTTGCTACTTCGTCCGAGATGATATTGACATCTGCACCAGTGTCTGCACACGCCAAGACGGTAGCCAGAACTCCTTGTTTGTGAAGCGTGATTGGTAAACCTAAGCGAGGTTTCCGGGGTCTATGTCTTCTTGTTGTGATGGAAGGATGCGGTGGGGGTAGTGGGGATGTGGGTTCGTGATCCGAGCGTAGTGGTGGTAGTGGGGACATGAATTCGTGATCCGGTGGTAGTGGTGCTAGTGGTGGTAGTGGGGACATGGGTTTGCGATCCGATGGTAGTGGTGTCTGTGATGCCTGAGACTTAGATTCAGCTCCAGCAAAGGAATCTAAGTAGAGATTGTCCCTCTCATCAGACAATGACCCGTCACTGCTACTGCCGGATTCGATCCGACCACTCAAACCAATCTTGAGAGTGAGCTGTGGATTTGTTGGAGCCATCTGATGAAGCAGTAGACTATCCATGAACTCCCATTCATGCTGCGGAGCTTCATTCTTGTACGACTTGTACAACTTTTGCCGTGCTTCTCGGCCATCGCCAGCGTGTTCGACGTGAATGTAGCTCTGTGTTGACATTAGCTATGCTTCAACGCGGGAATGAAACTTACTAGAGGTGCCTCGTTGATGTCTTGAGGCAGCCACAAGGGGGTGAATGGCAATGGAGGTTGGTTATTCAAATCAGGTTGGAACGGAGTAAGTCCTGGAGAGGCGCGGACATAGTCATCATCGCCGTAGTATTCCATGTCGCGTAGTCAGTATATTCTACGGAGGTGTCATGAAAGATGGGATCGGGCGGCGATGAGTATGTAGTCGGGCTGGGCTGTGCATGAGATGGCGGGGTCACAAGACAGCTCAAGCCACCACTGACCGGTCAAGCAGCCGCAGCACCAGCTTAGCCCGCTGAACCTCCAGATACGAGTTTATACCTCCATTCCGCACCGGTCACGCAGCCATGTCCACTGGCAATATCGATACCGAGGCAAGGTCACATCATGTCTCTGGATACCCGTCTCTTGCCAACTTCATCGCAAGCGATCGTGATCGAACGACCCTCATATTCAAGCGATACGATGAGCTCGCAGCAAGGAACCTGCTGTACCTACAGAGTGAGCTCGCCGAACTCCAGGCAAAACAACGCGCTTTTGATCAAGAGGACTTGACAGCAAATCTAAGCATAAAGCAATGTGCTCGCAACTATTCAGACTTTGAGAAGGCAGTGAAGGCAGACGAAGCCAAACAAAAGGATCGATGGAAGTTGATGAAAGACATCCGAGAGACCTTGAAAGAGTATCGAGAGGCACTGCTGTTCGAAAGCACATTAGCAACATTTCCAAGACCACCCAAAGGTGTTCTACGCGCTTTCCAAATGGAGTTTTACAACCAGAGTGACGGCAAAGGAGAACCGTTTCCTACCCTTGGAGGACATAGTGCCGGGATATATGACGATATTGATGACTTGGTCGCTTTGCGGGTACAAGACGATCAGGATCGGTTAACGACGTTCGCGCAAGAGCATCTAGCTTTTCTATTCCCGGTAAGTGGCATTTTTTTCTTGCAAGAGTAAGCGGGAACGTTGGCAGCATAACATGCAGGCCTCGCCTTCAGATTGCTGAGCAAGGCAAGACAGGATGTATATTGGGGAACGAGTCTGTCAAGCAGCTTGGAGGGCAGAAGGCACCATACATGCCTCGAGAGTAGACTTTGTAGATAGGCTACCGGACGAGGAAAGCGAGCTTTTGCCAATCTAGATTTCCCGCTGACAATGAGTCCCCTAGGATCGCAAGCGCTCCGGCAATGGCATAGCGTACGCTTCGGACCGCGCCATTAGCTCTTTCGTAGCGTACTTCAGCACCTTCTTAGCAGCGCTGCTACTTATAGGCGCTATCGTCGTGCTCTACAAAGTGACATCTCCAGACTGGAGACTGGGGCTGATAGCGACTTTCACCACCTTGTTCGCTGCGAGCGTGGGGCTGTTGACGAATGCGCGGAGAGCGGAGTTGTTCGCAGCGACAGCGGCGTATGTATGCCGTTTTCCGGTTTCTCCAGAGGGCATTACTGATTCGAATGTGTGTAGATATGCAGCGGTCCTCGTAGTCTTCGTAAGCGGGGACCTAGGAAATAGTCAATCGAGCACGGCGCCACCAGGCTGAATAGATGAATAATGATATTAACAATGTCACAACAAGAACCTTACGTCTATATGCTGGCTACCACCCAAAAAAAAAGGTCAAGATCTCAAGTCATCAACTATATCAGCGTTCCGAAACGAAATCCTTCGTCGCCGCATCTCAAGCGCGAGAGGATACCGAAGTGGGTCTAACAGACCCCGCACCACTCTCCCTCCTGCCCCAGTTCCTGGGCTGCCTCTTCAAGAACGCACCCACGGCGCCTAAGTATCCCTCATGCCTCAGGAAATACGCTTGCCGCGTATCCTTCGACCAGAAACGAATGGCATAGGATAGCGTGTTCATCGTCTGCGAGTGACCGCCGATGAAAGAACCTCCAAAGTATATCCTAGGCAGTCCATGCTTTTCAGCATGTAGATGCGCCAACTGGCCAATGTTGTTTGATACAGCGTAGAGAAGCGATCGTGCCATGTCTTCTGGGCGGAAGGAACCAGGATCGTGGGAGAGTTCCGCAGAGCCTTCGACATGCTCTGCTTCTTCTCTGCGTTTGAGATCGCCGTTGCATCCATCTTCTGCTTCTCGTTCCGCCGCGCGCTTCATTTTGTAGACCTTGCCAAATGACGACGCGATATGCGTGCTCTTGAGCCCGATCTTGTTATACGCCTGTCCGTAGATATCTCCAACGAGTAAATCGACGGTGGAATTGTCGCCGTTCTCCGCAAGTCGCAGCATGTCGTCGAAGCTGCGTGCGCCGGTGAGCAGCGATAAGAGACCCCAGAGTGTTCCGCCTCCTAGTGATGTTCCGCCTATGCGCTCGTATTGTCGGGGGCCTGAGACTTTGATCATGGATACGCCGGAGCCGATGTTGACGAGGAGGTAGGGGTAGATGTTCGGTGGGTCGGGAGGGTGTGGCATGAAGGTCATGGGGCTGTCTTCGCTGTACGTGAAGACTTCGTTTGGTATTTCGTTGATGAAGAAGTCGAGGCCTGTAAAACGTCCAAGTTAGCATGCTGGTTCCCTGCCTGTAGACAACGCCACCTTCTTACCTATGATCAAGCACTCCATCTCGTCTTCCCGTATGACTTCCACATCTAGCGCTTGCTTAATCTTGTCATGGTACTTGAACGCACCACCGCCAGTCGCCATGATACACAGGTCCGGCGACCTGGAGCCATTGTCATGCTTCTGATCAGCCTGGAGCTTGCGCATGAACTCTATGCACGCATCTATCCGGTCTGTCTCGAACTTGAAGAAGTTTAGACGTCCGCCGATCGCATCGTCGCCCGGTTCGCGCGAGAAGTATACGAGTTTGGCTAGAGAGCCTCCTATCTACGATGCGCACGATAGATTAGCATGCTGCTGCGACTCTGTAAGGGGCTGGTCGCTGTGAATGGTCGCGTGACACAACCAATCAAGCACACGACCACGCAGGTACACTCACATCGACGGCTACATGGCTGACTACCGAAGTGTGGTTCGGCAGTCTGATGTCGTGCGGGTCGTGTTCGTAGTCCTCGCTCTGGGGCGTCCCCGGCTGCTCCTCGTCTACGATAAAGGCCCCCTGGACGTTGATGCGCACATTGCCCGGGTGCTGTATCGTGTCCTGGATGTCGCTCTGCGCGGTAGTCCGTCTCGGGCGTCCCGGTTCCGGGGTCGACGATGTCTCTATAGGATGCGCACGCGATCCTTTGGTGCCGGTTTCACCCGTCGCGGGGTCCAGCGCAGGCGACATGGATGCGGATGTTCTGGGTCTTGGCTGCAGCTTCGCCCTCTTACAGCGATGGCGCACGCTCAGAGGTCGACGTCGTCTAGCGGAGAGATGGGGTTGGGATGGCGATTGTGCGAAGGGGGAATGGGGCACTGGAGTCGCTGCTGATAGCGATAGACGTTCCATTTGTCCGCTTTGTAACGGACCTTATGCCCTGGGCAAGACGTGACCTGAAGTTCTGCGCAGAATAGAGCCCAAGGTACGCAAATCTCCCGCTGCCCCTATATAACGGCAGAGGGTGGAGCGCCGAAGAAGAACATATATATCCTCCATATTCATCGGCGGAATGGAGACTGTATATCTTGCGATGCGTGCTGATTACCGAGATCGGGGCAATGTTAAGCTCGGCAACTGGCGTGAGGCGTGATGGGGAACATCCGAGGACCGACTGGGGAGGTTTGTGGGGATACCGCTGACCAACGTCGGTGCATTTAGTAGACTTGAGTAATCCCATATTAGATATCGATCGCGGTAATTAGGCGAAGGATATGATAAGGGCCATTTCTAGTAGCCGGAGGCACACGTGCAGCCACACCAAGTGCACAGGTAGGAAACTTCAATTCGAGTACGTCATTATAGACTTCAACTCTTAGCTGCAAAATGTACATGATTCGAGCTTCACCCCGTTCACGCCTTCCTGCGGCACAGTCCATAGCCTCGTACCTGCATACACCCACGTACCAGGTAGGTAACAACCGATGACGTCGTGCGCTCGTACCCTCTGTACCAACTTCACAAGCACGACGATCTCCTACCGTACATTCACACGACGACAACCCCATATTTTACGCTTGAATAAGCTATACCAATCGTTACCGCTACAAAATACCAAAAGCTTCAGCAAGATGTCGTGGATGGACTCCTGGTCGCGGCCCAGCAAGCACGCCGTCACCCCACCACCCCTCTACCTCACCGTCGGCGACACAGTACCCTACTGCCACAGCTGCGGGCGCGTGATCAGCGAGCGGCGCAAGACTCAAAACGCAACGGCAGTCAAATACTGCTCAGCACGATGCCGAAATAGCAAACCAGGTCCCACCGACCGCAAGATCGAGGCCACATTCGCCGCACTCCTCAACGGCGCGTCACCAGAATCACTAAAAGAGAACGCCGGAGCAGACCCAGTCAAGAACAATGCAGAATCAGAGAATGCACATGATGACACTAGATTCGGCAAAGGCGAGAAGAAGCATAAGAAAAAGCCATCCAAAACTGTCAAAGGAGAAACTAGAATCATCATCGAATGCGGGACAGTAGAAGAGATAGTCTTCCAGCGTGAAAAAGACCCCGAAAAAGTGTACGGACGGCGCAAAAACCGGAAAGCGCGTTTCGTAGTCGAGAAGCCTGAGGATTGGAAGAGCGTGGATATGGTCGATCAACCTGCGTCCAGTACACCTGCTACTACAGCTACAACAGACGCATCATCAGCATCTGCACCACAGCAACCCCCACAAGACTACACCAGCGACGAGGAAAGCGTATCAGATTCCGACGCCGAAGCCGAAGGCGGCATAGTCCTCGAGCCTACCAAAACAGCCTCTTCTACAGACGCAGACGCGGATCCCTCCGCCCTCCCCGACACAGTAGAGTACGGCTACGGCGGCGGTAAAGTGCGGCCGCCCCAAGCTCAAAACGACGTCAATGGCAGCGTCGGTGGAGAAAAAGGCTGGGCTGAACGCATCGAGGAGACCGATGAGATGAAGTTGAAGCGGAGGGAGGGGCAGCGGAAAGCGGATGAGAGGGAGATGGTACGCAAGGCGGCGAGAAGGGGGTGTGCGTTTGGGTTCGCGGTTGAGGGGGAGAGTGAGAAGAAGAAGTGTGAGGCTGTTATGAAGGGCGTGGTTGTTGAGAGTAGTTTTGCGAAGGGGGAGTGGGGGGTTCGGTGGAGGGAGATGGTTTGATGGTCTCAACCATTCATGTATCAACAAAGTGAGAGAGAAGATGTAAAGTCAAGGACACTGCCTGATAACCAAGGCAAATAAATGTCTAAGAACTAACAACTGCACGATTGAGTAGAACGCCGATATGGCGACGGTGGGTATCAAGAATATTCAACCAAAAACGCCTTTGTCCTAGATATCCAATCGGACAACCCTTCAACGATCATCTAGCAGCCCTTTCCCAAGACCCATCTTCATGCATTACCCACCCAGCGGCCATCAAAGCTTTGCCTTCCTTCATGCCCGGGTGGATGATCATCTCAAATCCTGGTCTTAGTCCAGCGCCAGATCTAAACAACATGTTAGCATAACCATCCCATTCGTTCGATTCCCCTTATTATCAGAGCAGAGGAAAACATACCTGATCATATGCAAAGCCATCGTCCTCGCCTTATCCTTCAAATTAACCTGATTCCTATTAACCAACCTCTTCGGCCCATGATCATCCTGATCGTGCTGCAGAATCTTCGAGTATTTCCCACGGTACATGTTCATATACTGTATCAGTGCGTCTTCCTCGTCGTCCGTCCACTTCTGGCGGCCTTTGCGTTCGGCCGCCCGTTCTTGCGTGGTGACTTCGAGAGCGCGGTTTTCTTTTGCGAGACGCCGTTGGTCGGGCCAGGTGGACGAGGGCGGTTCTTCGGACATGGAGGGCGCAGAGGTTTCGGAGATTGATTCTTCTTGTTCGGATTCTGGGCGGGGAGGAGGTTGGTGGCTAGTGGGTGCTGCGGAGGAAGAGGGTATAGGTTCGGTGGTGCGCTGTTTCTTTGAAACGGGCGCGTTGCGACGGCGTTCTGGGGCACGGAAGCCGCGGTCTGCGGTTTCGAATTCGTCGGATTCTGAGTCGGAGATGTCGATTACGCGCTTACGTTTGCGTGGGGATGGCAGTGCGGGTTGCTTGCCTTTGGCTGTATTTGACGGGCCAGGTGTTGGCTGGGTGCTGTCGAAGCCGTCGCCGAATTCGATGCGCTGTGCTGTTGGTTGGCGATCGAATATCGATAATGGGCGGTTCTCTTTCTGCGGCTTTGGAACGGCTTTCAGAGCTTTTAGTAGAGCTGCTGAGCTTTGCGGTGGGCCTGATGCTTGAGGTGCTTCGACCTGCTCTTCGACTGGTTCTTCGGGCTCTTCAATTCGGCTTTCTTTCACCGTTTGTTGTCGGGGTTGCTGCTGTTCAGACTGCTCCTCATCGGGCTGCTGCGGTCCGTCGCTTTCATCTACCAACTGCATATCATCCTGTTGGTCTTCCGTCCTTAACTGCTCGTTCTGCACTTGTTCGATCGCTTGAGGAATATCCTCATGCCCCTGTTGAGAAGTCGTATCGCTTCCGACCATGGTCTGTTGTTCGTCTTGTGGCTGGTCGTCCATTCCCAGTTGCTCATTCTCCACCTCCTCAACTGGTTGCTGAACAAGAGTCTCTTCACGATCAGGCTGAGAAGCCGCGAGTCCCAGATGTACACCCGAATCACGTTCTTTCTCTTTCAAAACATCAATAGCACGCAAATCCACCTTCGCGTTTGGGTCAAATTTACGGCTACTGCGCCGCCTGTCTCGTCCAAATGAAGTTCGCTTCTTACGCAGTGATTCTCGCGGAACCGATGGCGCTGTTTGATCGACGGACTGAGGTTCCTCCAGGGCTTCTTTGACGTTATGCATGATCGCGTTTGGTCCTCCAAGATTGTCGATGGCTATTTTGAGTTCGTTGTGCCGAAGACGCACCCAGTCTAACAGGCGAAAAACGGTTGCCACCCACGGAAAGTTTGACTTCAATTGTTGCAAGTCGACAGGTTCGTCATGTTCCTCATCCTGGGAGAAAAAGGCTCGGATCTCGTCTACTCGGGTCACAATCTGGTCCTCGAATTCTTCGGGTAGCGCTGATTCGTCGCCGCCCAAAGCTGCTGTGGCCCATCCACGAAGTGGCGAACCAGCTTCTACCGACTGTGACGAGTCAGAGCGGAAAAAAACTTCCTCCATTGTTTCTTGGGGATCAAAGCTGGGGTTGTCGGCCGACTTTTGAAGGACGAGTATTGCTAGTTGTGTCCGCAGTTCCAGCGCAAGCTCAAAGGTCTCATTGTATAGCGCACTCTCTCCTGCAGCTGACTGTTGCGTATTCGAATCGAGCGACTGCATAAACTGAGCTGGGAAGGAAATGTCTAGTTGTCGTAGCACATCCCAGATACTTTTATCATCTCGATCTGAATGTACTATCTGCTTCGCTAACACCAGTAGATTGGTGAGGTAGAGGATCAGGTCGAGGCCACTCTGTGATGCTGTGACATCCTCACTTGTCCCAAAAAGAGCGCGGTGAATTGCTCTGATGTGTACGTAGCTGTGTTCTTCGCCTTTGTAATGCTTTAACTGCGTGTTCAGTTCGTTGTCGAAGTCCTGGTAATCTTTGCTGTAGACTGAGCCGGGTTTTCGCATCTCTTGTATGTTTTGCAGATCATCCTCCATTGCCGCGTGATTTGGCGCAATGTGCCCCAGGAAATCCTCTGTAGCCTCGCATAGCTTTCGCAGATGCTTGACGATGTATCTGGGCTCCAGGAATTCAGCCTCTATCATGCTGAAGGAGGTGATGGCAGTGGTTCCGGACATCTCGGATGCGGCGCCCGGTGAGCGGAAGGTTACGTCAGGCTCGGTGCGCGCTGGTGTACCTGGGATTTCGTCTTCCTCAAGGGCAATCTCGGTGTCTATTTCCTCAACCACTGTGAGGTCTGGCGCATGCGTAATTAGCCTGAGCTCTGTCTAGCCAGTAGTGAATATTGCGCTAATGGGAACTGCGCAAGCGAGCAACTGGGCTGTGGCTACTAACCTCCCAACAGCTCTTTCGCGGGTTTGCGCTTTGTGTTGCGCGCCTTTGGTGCCTCATGTTCACTTCCATCGTTCGTAGTCACGCTCGCTTGTCGCGCGCTTCGACGTGTGGGTTTCTGGATGTCGATAAAGTCCTCTACTTCGCGACTGGCGCTGCGCAAACTTCTCGCTCGCGAAGCGCGTCCGAATTGTTGTGCAGGCGCATTGGCCGGTGGTTGTGGAGTAGGTGTTTTGCGCCGGCTTGCAGACCGCACACTTCTGCGGTCGGCCATGATAGTTTCTTAGGAACGCGTGGACTCGGCTGGTATTACATGCGACGTAGGTTGGGTGAAGGTGTGATGTCAGTAGCGTTGATGCGGATGCGGGCTTGTTTACGACAACGGTCCGCGATGGTGGCTGACTAAGGCGACTCGACGGGTGCTCACGTGACCAGTGTCGTGGATCGCCGTTCGGGGCCTGGGTGGGCCTCAGCATTCAAGGCGCAGCACGGAGAAGGGGCCAGCTGTGCAGAACGGATGTGAATACGAAGCGTTTGAGTTCGAGACGGAACCACGGCATTTGCACCATGTTTCCGGTCCTCCCCACAGGCTTCCGGACAGAAAGGCCCCTTAACTAGCCCTCGTTGTGGTTTACGTAGGCGTGGATATATTACGTGGGCTGTCTGCACGCACCCCTTGCGCGCATCTCGGTCGTCTTCGACTTGCTTTACACGCCTCAACATCAGAGTGACTCCTACACCGTTCTGTTCAATGAAACTTGCCGAAACATCCACGTTTCCTTCACAACAACCTCTTCTATTCTCGTCACTCTTTGCAGCCTTCGAATTATTTCTGGGCGCTTCCCTTTACCGCTGACGTTTCTTGCCTTCGCCGCACCGCACCCCTGCTTCCCTTCGAATCGCATTCATCATGAGGTTACGACAGCCACGGCCGCACACTTTGCTTCTCCTCCTGCCCGCTTTACGAGTTCTCGCCACATCCATTGCCACAGACACATCAGACGACAAGCCCGTCGCGCGGGCCGTTGTGCCAGCCTACACCCAAGCCACCTACTCGCCTGATGCCTCACTTGCCCCGACGGCGGTCCCAAAAGGAACCAAAGATGCGCCTGTCGATGGGCTAGACGGCAAGCCACACGCCGGGCCATACGTGGACGACGACCCAAAATACAAAGGGAAGAAAGCTCCCAACGTTGTAGAAGATCTCGGGGCGGCCAAGAAGCCTGGCGCTTCTACCGAGACTGTGCTTGTAGACGACGTCAAGGATGGCGACAAGAGCGTCATGCAGGACCCGGCACGGAAACCGGCCACTGGCAGCACAGGCACCGAGGGAGGAGTGTCGGCAAAGGACAAGGAGCGACTGGCCCACGAGGAGAAGACAGGGGAGAAGATGGAACAGGTTCCCGAGTCACCAAAGGAGGCTCCTGCCCATCCTGCTGACCAGAAGCAATTGAGCGGAGACGCTGTAGAGACTGCAAGCACCACTCGTGTGCTTGGTGCTGGCGGACTTGAGGTGAGCCGTGGCTCTTCCGTGCCATTGATTCAGTATTAACCAGACTACAGAAACCCACCGACCTTCCCGACTCTCTGCACGACAACCCTCTTCCTGTTCCAGGCTCCGTCTCTACCAAAGATCCCCTAGACACTTCACCACCCAAGACACCCTCTTCGACACTCGACGATGCCGACGCCGGCGCCGTGCAACCTTTCCATTCCTTCATTCTCGCTTTCACCATGATTATCGTCTCGGAAATTGGTGACAAAACATTCCTCGTTGCGGCGCTCATGGCTATGCGACACCCTCGACTCCTCGTCTTCTCTGCCGCCTACTCCGCTCTGGTCGTCATGACAATTCTTTCTGCTGTCATGGGCCACGCCGTCCCCGCGCTCCTCTCGGAACGCTTCACACACTTCGCTGCGGCTGCTCTTTTCCTTGTATTCGGTGTCAACCTTATAAGAGAGGGTCTCGCTATGAGCCCAGACGATGGCGTGGGCGAGGAAATGGCTGAAGTCGAGCAGGAACTTGAAGAGAAGGAACAGCTTGCCCGACACCAAAACCGCCGGAAGTCCTCCATCTCTCCCTATGCCCTCGAGTCTGGTCGTGGTGTGCGACGCTCCCGATCCAACTCGCGACTACCTGCCCCCGCCCGCAGCCCTTCCAGCTCCCCGGACCGAATGCCCTCGCCGCGCGGAGGCTCCATGAGCGGCACTTTGGGCGCTGTGAACAACCTATTCTCCCTCCTCCTTAGCCCTGCGTGGGTACAGACATTTGTTATGACTTTCCTCGGAGAGTGGGGTGATCGCAGTCAAATTGCGACTGTTGCTATGGCTGCTGGGTCTGACTACTGGTATGTCACTGCCGGCGCTGTAGTTGGCCACGGACTGTGTACTGCAGGTGCAGTCATCGGCGGCCGCGCCATTGCTGGAAAGATCAGCATGCGCAATGGTAAGCATGTCCAACTCCTATTTCTTGACGTAATGCTAACTCATGATAGTCACGCTTGGTGGAGCGATTGCCTTCCTCGTTTTCGGTATTATCTACACATTCGAAGCGTTCTACTCATCTTGAGCAAGATGCACACTTCCAGCATTGCACGGCGCGTATGGCGGGTCGGATATAGACCTCTGGGGTTGCGGTCAAACTATCTCTATCTTATGTTGACTCACCTATGTAATATTAATTGTACCTAAAATCAACATGGCACGACTGGGAACGGTCAAGGCGTTCTCTCACAGAGGACGAGGTACAATAGATCTCTCACAGTTGACATTTGATAGTAGTTTCATGTGCGACTTGACAGTTCGAAACGGCGTTTGAGTCTCTCTTGCTTGAAACATGCTCAATCCGTTTCATGCCCAGACTATCTGACAGTATACAAGCTTTCAGGAACGACGCGGCTCTGGGGTCGCCGACTGTGGTGCTGCTAGCCTTCGGCGTTGGGGTGGTGGAGGTTAACGGAAGTGATCCCTGCACTCGCCGCGGAAGAGAGCCGTTGGCCCTTGCAGCTCTCAAGCTTCAATGGCTGCGCCTTGACGAACAATACCGCTGCTATTGTCGCCTTTCACTATTCACCCGCCCACACGCAAATCCTCACGCCACTTGAAAACTCCTCACTGCGCTCTGCAACTGTCGTCTAACATATCCATCAGCGACGACGGGGACGCCATACCGGATCGGAACATATCCTTTGCGCGCCATCTGTACCACCACTATCGCGCATCGAAACACAACCTCTAGTGCTACAACCCTCGGTGATGGTATCGACCGCCAGCAGCGCGATGGCGCCGCAGCGTGAGCCCCCCAGACCGCCACCGCCGGCCGTCATCGAAGCCGAGATGCAGTGGATTTTCACCGAAGAAGAACTGCTACTGGCGCCGTCGATATGCGACGGGATGCCCGCTGAGGAGGAGCGCACACTACGGCGGAAGGGCGTCGGGTTCATATTGCAGGTGGGCATGATGCTCAAGTTACCACAAACCACGCTTAGTACAGCGGCCGTCTTCTTCAATCGCTATCTGATGCGAATGAGTTTGAAGCCACGGCCGGGGTATAAGCCACTCCACCACTATGTAAGTCTTCCTCCGGATAAATGCGATGGAAACGCGTCTAACTTTACCAGCAAATCGCCGCAACCGCGTTATTCCTCGCGACGAAAGTCGAAGAAAACTGTCGCAAGATGAAGGAACTCGTTGTTTCATGCGTCCGGGTCGCGCTCAAGGATCCCAACAAGCTCGTCGACGAGCAGACAAAAGACTTTTGGAAGTGGCGCGATACAATCCTGTACAGCGAAGACGTCCTACTGGAGGCCTTGTGCTTCGACCTTAACGTGGAATCACCATACAAGACCATGTACGACATGATGAAGTACTACGGAGTCGAGCATAACAAGAAGCTGCGCAACTCAGCCTGGGCCTTCCTCTCCGACTCGACGTCCACACAGATGTGCCTATTGTTCACGTCGCGAGCGATCGCCGCAGCATCGCTGTACGCCGGCGCGCGTATGGCGGAGGTAGAGCTAGGGGATGACGACGGAAAGCCATGGTGGGAGATACAACATGTCCAGTTGCGCGACATCCGGAGAGCATGCAACCTCATGGCGGATTTGTACGAGAAGTCGCCAGACAAAGATGGAGAACCGTCCATGTACGCAGGGCTTCGGACACCAGAGGACGGCATCGACTTTGGGGACACGCCCGACGGTATGGAAGGCGTACAAGCGACAAGCCAAAGCCAACCTCCTGCCAACGGCACGGGCGATGGCAACGCGACAGAGAGGGGCAGTGAAGAGGGTGAATTGGATGGCTAGAAGACACTTTAAGGACGGAATATCATCAGTCTGGCCAAGCGCGCCGGCTTCAAGATCCATTATCGGAAACCACCATCGCCAGGCCCAGAAGCTCAACGCTCTCGTCGTGATTCGATGATCGACGACGAGACTGCTGGCTCCTTGGCGAATGGATTGCCATGGACACGAACCACGCTTTGGGACGAAGAAGAAGGATATGGCTTACAGTATCGTCTGTTTAGGGAATTGAGGTATTAGGCGTTTGGTTGGTACAAGGCGACATGGGAAGATACCACTAACCCGCATAACACATTATTACTACCTAGGTATGCGCATAGTACTTGAATACTATTGATGATTAGACAATAACGCGACGTGTTATCTTAATGATGGATCAAAGATTGAAGACTCTGTGTAGACGCTGCGGCATGTGATTGAGCATTTGCACTACCGCCAACGATTGAGTCCGGGTGGGTGGGGGAGAAGGAGGAGGTGGTAGTGAAGGTCTCGTCTTCGATACATGCAATAAACATCTTATCGTACCAAAGACATAAACAAAGATTGATCTTCTGGAAGGACAGGTAGCGTCAATCGCTGCGGCTTGCGGGTCTTCGTAGATTCCCCCACGTGGGCGTATAGACCGTATATCGTGCATGAGATCATGACTCGTGCCGAGGCATCGTTATATGCCGCGTTGGTCTAGTAGCGCGACGTCAAGACTGCCTCTTTGCCACTAAAGTGACTTCCTTCTCTCCTTTAACCTTGAGTATAGCTTGGGAAACCTCGAAAATCCAATTTTCCAAACTCCAAACCAGTAAAAGTGTGATTTCCGATCACGTTCACAGTCATCGAGACCGAAGACCTGAGTCAACGCCTCCGCGGAACAACACCAACATGGACGCTTCGCCTTCAGCCTTGCTCAAGCTTCTGCTTCCCAAAACTCCGTTCCTATTGAAAACAGCACTATGGCACTCTCTGTCCATGTCAC